GAGATTCAAACGCCAGAGAAATGACAAACGCTGCAGCATACGATACACATAAATGGCCAAGGAAAATGTATATCTAAAATGAGAATACAAATTTCTTAATGCCAAGTCTTACGTCAAACATATAATAAAAGGTTCCATTGTTGATATCGAGAATATTGAATAAGTCGATATCTAATACTTAATTCATTGAAAGTTAAATAAAATGTTATGCGAGCCTTTGGCAAGCATCATGTTGTTTTATTAAACGAGTTCAATAAATTCAGTTTATGATCTACATAATTATTATATTCTATTAATCACATATTTAAAATACAAACAGTTTAATTGTTAGTTGACGCGCCTATAGCTATGTCTGTATATATCGCATATGAAAGTCACGTAAAAGTGTTATTACATTAATGTAATATTGTTTTATCACGTTGCTAGTGTGATAAAGTGTATAAATATCTACTGCAATACTAACTGTACAACTATCTTTGAAAATATTTATGCTTGTTATTTTTCTATCAAAGTATAATATAGTATGTATCTTTAGGAAAAATGGGAGTTGCATCCAACAATCAAGGTATACTATAATTTCTATAATAAAGAATTTGTATTTTGGACTAACCATTTCAAAATCGTACCATCTCATCAAGGTTCTTTTGCTGGAATAATATGCATACATCACGAGCGGATGTACTAGATATGCACAATACGTCAGGCGGCTCAGAGGAATAATTGCACGCCATGACAATAACTTATTAACAGGGCCTGGAAAGAAAAAAAATAAGATTTCAATAGAAAATACATCCAAAGATATTTAAAGTAGAAAAATATCAGGCTCTAATCTTATAGCAGCTGTCATTATTGCTAAATTTTGAAACATTGTTCTATAACGAGACGTGATATAATTTGCTCCCAATCGGTAAAGTCTCAATGCACATTTAAAGACCTTTGATTATTTCAAAATGAACAAATTACCTAACTACTAACCGTGCTATACAGGCAAATCACACAAGTAGTGATATTGAAAAAAAACCAGAATATTTCAGCCTATTTATAGTTAATGTTGTTTGTTTGTTTGATTGATTTGGTTTTTCGTCACACCGACACATATATACTTGTGGAGGAAAATCTCAGGTGCCCTTTCGTGCATTATTTCAGGAACGAACGGGTACCTGAGTACAACCACCGACGTTCCGTTAGCCAAATTGATAGCATCAACACGTGAAAGAACCCCTGTCCTTGTCGGTATTCGAACCCACAGCCGTGAGAAGCAAGTGGATTGAAGTCAACGGTCTTTTCCACTCGCCACGGATGGCCACGAATGTTGTAAATGTATGTGATTTGGTTTGCAATTTATTTAAATTTATTTTCCATTATCTGGATTTCTATAAGAGAAGAACGTTGTAAACATTCCCTAAATTTATTAATATGTTTCTAACATAAAGATTCGTCATGCATACCTCCATATCCACTGGCACACGCGAAAATAACCCAAGCAACACACATTCCCCATGCAGTTCTTGACGTGGCATTATAGAATGCCGACGTATCATCGCTGAGAATTTTTGTACCATCTGGTGAGTACAAGCCGTATAAAACTAGCATAGCAGTTGTTGTAGCAACAATCCAGCCGACAACATTTAATATCTAAAACAATATGAGAAAAAACACCAATAGCGACAATTATATTAAAACAGAGAAAAACAAAATCCCTAAAGAAAGCCCATCATAGCAAATTTTACAATGTTGCAGGCTCGGTTTGATTGAGCCTGTTCATGGACCGTACTGGAAAATGCAAGTTACGGTCCACGCACACTAGCACCGGCTCAAGCAGAATTCAACATCTTAACACGAAAATGGTGAAATTTATACTAAAGACCCATAATGGCCCAGAAATGTTTTTTGCTTATTTCTCCAACGGTTTTATTTTTGGTGTCCTCTTATTTTTCATACCAATTATGAACCATACTGGGTTGTGTTACGAACATTAACAGTTTGAATCTTGGGTTATATTTTGTTCAATCAGGCTATATTTCCCGTATATCCCGTCAGCATTTTGTATAACCAATGATATAAACGGTTGTTTTACAATATAAATACCTCCAATTGGCTCGGCCTAATGAAATTTCCAACCAGTTACTGAACGTGTCAAAAGTTTTTTCAACAATGTTGTTTCTACGTGCATAACAATAAAGTTATAAATACAATAAGCAATTTTGTACGATGAATTTTAGACAAACAATGAAGTTTAATATGGACTAATCTAAACAAGAATATAAAAGAAACCACAAACCTGCGACATTTTGACCTTGCACTTTGTAATATGTAGAAGATATCCAGTGAAGAATCCTACGACGTAAGGTCCTATACGAGTCCAAGGTTTGATATATAAATCTGCCATCGCCTCATTTCCACTGTATAACGCAAAATGCAAGAACATAATAATATTGATTACTAATATGTAAGAAAAGCATCACAAATTTAAGGCACAAATACATGCTTTGCAAAAGGGGAATTTTACATGTATTTATATCTATATACATGTATGTCAATAGATAAGTAAGTATTTACATTATTGTATTGTATTACTGAGTACGATCGCTGACGTCCCTGAAGGAAACCACAGATGTTCGGCGCGTTGATTGGTCGCTACCACCGGGCCAACTCCCCCCCCCCTCACCCATTCTACAACCCTCCTACCTCTCGAAACCATGTAAACTGCAGTATTTTTCATTTTAAACATGTTTTAATATTTGGTATATGCTTTTAATTCAATTACCTTGGTTTTGTCTTGCCTAACTCCTTACATAACTCATAAACAATATAACTCATAAACAATATAAATGGTGTACTTACGAACGTTTATCACGTGCTTTCATAATTCAAAAATCTTTTAATTAATCCTATACTATATTATTATGATTTATAATTTGTCTCTTATTTAACAATAATAATAAGATACTAGGTCTTATATCCAGGATGTAAATACTCCTGATAACCACAAAAATAATTCAAATAATTTATATTGACACATAAGTAAAATTTCCTTTTCTTATATAAAAATTATCACAGATATTTGCTGTGCAAAACTGACCTATCATCCCAATCAAAGACAATGGCCACTTCTCCTTCTCTGAGTTCTATAACTATCCTTCTATATATGCTTCTTCTTTACCATAATTCTTGAGTGTTCATATCAAAAAGTTGAAACTATTTGTTCAGACTTAAGATCGAGCTTTTTTTTCCTTCCGTACCCTCTTTATATATAATCGCACATTTAATGTAATTCTCATTTTTTCGTCGTTTGCTGTATTTTCATTACTTATCTCACTCTTTCTAGGCGTTATTATATAATTATTTCATGTTAGTAACTAGTTTACTTACAAGTACGTGTTGTTACATTGCAATTTGCTTTATTTTTACAATTTACAGGAAAGAAATATCTACATAAGTCTTTGACTTCCTTTTCAATCCTGTTTATATAATGTTGTTGTATCATAATTGTATATGTTTGTATTATATGAAATAAATACTGTTTAAAGATCCTGTATGTTTTGTGATTGATATTGTTACTGTATGTATCATACACTTGCAAAATATTATATATGTATATAATTATGCAAATAAAACAATTTTCAAACATCCAAGAATATGTAAAATGTGTGCTGCAAATATTTGTGCACATTATATTTAATCAATAAATTACATGCATTTATTTCTTTTTGGAAAATTTGACTTGGAATTTATAGAAAATAAATTTCTAATTACCTCCCTTTATTTACGCAAAATGTTAAATTGGGTAATATCTTTATAAATAATGCTTATTTGAACTTACAAGATTGACAAATCTTAATTTGAGCATCATATTTATGAAATAAAACCATGAAAAAAATGTGTTACAGGATCTTTAAACCAATTCAATTACCTTTATCTCCTACACAAAAATAAAAAAAGATAAATAATATATTTAGTAAAGGTATGCAACTCGTCGCTCATTTTTCAGCACTCAACTTAATATGAACTGAACTCCATAACAGCTTAAATTCCTTTAAGAGTAATCAATTCCCTACCATTTGGTACCAAGATATTAAAAATTGGTGAAAAAATGTTGGAGTTATGGAGCTCATATTAAGATGAGTGCTGAAAAATGAGCGGCCAGTTGCATACCTTTACTAAATATATTATATATAATTTTTTTTATTTTTTTTTGTGGGAGATGAAGGTAATTGAATTAAAAGCATATACCAAATATTAAAACATCTTTAAAATGAAAAATACTGCAGTTTGCATGGTTTTGAGAGGCAGGATGGTTGTAGAATGGGTGAGGGGGAGTTGGCCCGGGGGTAGTGACTGATCAACGCGCCTAACACCTTTGAAGGAAACTGAAAAACTTCCTAAATGTCATTAAATAATGTATAGTACCAATAATTCATAAAATAATACAATATTACTGAACGTTTTCCTACATATACATATATTCAGTTTTGATTATTTGTCAACTATACATACTTTGCCGCCAGTAAGTTTGCACTCAAATGGTTCTGTTTAGAAATAACTCCAGCGCTGATGAAGTTTACCAGTATCAGGCAGAGGCATGAGACGGTGCCCCAGAGGGGTGAACTGAAAACACAACAACAGCAACATAAGATTTACCGTAACTGTAGAAGTAAGATCTAATTGAATGTTAATTTTTATAGGGTTCTTAAAGATAGATAGCGTTTACCCTTTATATACATTGTATAAAAATTAAAAATGTTGTGACATAAAAAAAGTTTCCAAAATTCGCCAGGCTTCGATACTTGAGCCTGTAAAAATGGGATTTGAACCTGGGAGAATGGGCCTTAGAGCTTTGTTAAATTGATGTTTAAGCCGAGTTAAAAGAACATCTAAGCTTGTTAACATGGTGCTTGTGTCTGGTTCAAGAATGAACTTTTGAGTCTGAGTGAACGATTAAGTTTTTTTGAATGAATGATAAGAACTTGGTCAAAGGACACTTGAGCCTGGTTAAATCGAATTTAAGTTTGGTTAAATGGACGTCTATTCTTTGTTAAGAGGAAGTCTGAGTCTTGTTGAATGAGCGATTGAGTGTGTATGGATGAACGATTGTGTCTGTTTTTATGAACGATTAAGTCTGTTTGAACGAACAATTGAGACTGGTAAAAGGACGTTTGAGACTGGTTGAATAAACGATTGATTTTGATTGAATGAACGATTGAGACTGGTTCAATGGACGTAAGGTCTGGTGAAATGGAAATTTGAGCCTGGTTAAACAGGAGTTTCGACTTGGTTAAATGGACTTTTCAGCCTGTTAAATTTATGTATGTGCTTTGTTAAATGGCCGTTCAAGGCTTGATAATTGGTCGTTTAGAAACGAACGACACTTACTAATACAAGGGAACCAGCATTAAAGGGCTCAGAACATAGAACTGCATGCATTAGCCAGCGGTCCCAGCCCCACCCCATACATGTCCAAACGGGAAATTTTGTATATGAAAATTTTTTATTAAAAATAACGGTTTCTGTTTAGTTGGGTTTATTAATTTACTTAGTTTAATAAAGTTAATTTTCATTTTATTCTTTTTTATACGAAAAATTTTCCCAAGATATCTATTATTTTTTAAGTTACTTAATTAAGGGCTTCTCTAAAACTGATTTTTTGGAAACCAAAGGCTTTTTCCCCGTATGGGGTAAACATGCAAAATCATGTATAGGGAAAATTTCCCGGGGGTTACAGATTGTGTTATAGTTTTTGACTTTAAATAAAAAAAAACCCCCTTTAAATTTTTGTAACATTTTTTAATTTTCGATTTTTTTTCTTCTTTTTATATAAAAAAACCTTTGAACGTTTTTTTTTTTTGGTTTCCCTTTATCAAATTTTTTTTAAAACATTTACTTTTTTAATTGTCATATAAAAAAAAATGGGGTTTTAAAAATTACCTTTTTATCAGTTTCTAACTTAAGTTGTTAAATTATAAAAAAATTGTCCCCGGGTTCCTTGCACTCTTTCTCCCATAAACCCCCTTTTTTGACCCACCCTGGTCCTTTTCCCCATTTTTAAAGGGTTTTGGGAAGTAAAACCCTTTAGTAGAAACATGTACGGTGGTTTAATCTAAGAAAAAAAGAACAAAAAAACTTTTTAAAAACTTAAAAGGGTATAAACTGTATGAAACTCAACATCATTTGATAAAAACGTTCATATTTAAATGTAAATACGCCTTAAAGGTCATTATGCCATAGAAACATTTTGTTTAGATTTATCTATCATACAAGGTTTGAGATATAAATATATCTGTCGTAAGAATTAAACTAATAATAAGTAGAGTTTTTTCAAGATGATGTTCATTTATATTCATGCTATAATTACGACACACACAAAAACATATGACTTCATTTACATAATGTTAAGACAACATTCACTTTTATTACGATATTTACCTCCAAAATCTATGAAAGTAAAACATTCCCCACTTAAATTTACGGGCGCCACCTCTCTTTTCCATTTCACGAAGAGAAAGGTATGAAACCAACAATCCACTGAAAACAACCACAACAACAAAATAAACAACAACAAAAACAACAACAAATTAGTCTGCCTAGTTTTAATATGAGTACGTTGAATGAGTCAGAATATTATAGTGTGTTTGAATTGGCTGAAATGTGATCATTGCGAAGGCTACTGTTTTTATTCGGTCCCTTATTGCAAAGCAACTTGGGTTATATAGGCAAACAATCGTTTATATAAAGCAATATAACCTTTCAAACCTGTCTTTATAATCTTTATAAATTAGTTATAAAGATTTTTAACAGCAGCCTTATATATTATAAGTTATAAAGATGCTGACAGGTTATATGGCCCCTTAAGAAAACTGTTTGTTAGGGTAATATTGCAAACAACTGTTTATATACGGTCATATAACCTGTCGGGAATATTTATAACGAATATATAATACTTCAAGTAAACAAAGGCTACATTTTAACTGATATTAAAAACGGTGTGTTGCATATGTGAAATAGAGGAAATAAAAATCCCTAAGGAGAGCCCAAAACGGCAAAATTAAAAATTTTGCAAGCTCGGTTTGATAGAGCCTGTTCATGGACGGTATTGTCAATAGCAAACTATCGTCCACGCCCCTTGTCATCGGCTTAAGCAGAATTCGACATTTAAACATGGAATTGTAAAAATGTTTAATTATAAACATCCGCAGATGTGTTTATACGGTGATTCTCATGGAACCTTCAATGTGAAACTTTCTTGTCATTCCATGAAAAGCGGCGTATAGTCCCCAAAAAATAGAAAGCGTGTGCTCTAACGAGAAAACAATAGGTGGAACTAAACAAAATGAAATTTTGAAAGGGAATCAGAGGTTATGAAGCCTGCATACCATAGATAAGACGTCAAAAGACAAAGTTAAAAATTAGGCAGCATATCCTAATGGTGATTCTACGTTATTCAAGTAGGAATATTGGAACCACTCAACAAGATAATGCCAAAAAGTGAAAAATTAAAAAATACCACAAACGAAACACTGTAAACGGACCTGTTTAGCCGAGGTTATATTGCAAACAACCGTTTTCAAAACGCCAAATAACCTGTCATGAATCTTTATAACGAATTTCTTATGCAGCAGACTTTTATTAGAGAATAGATGATATATCTTTAGAAATTGACAGCAACCGTATATACATGTATCGTTAATTATAAAAAAATCGACAAGTTATATGGCCCTATATAAACGGTTGTATGTATACACGTATATAACCAAAGCCGATAGGCGAGGAATATATCATGTCAAAATATGTATTACGAATTTATAATTACACAAACGTTCTTATTTAGAGAAAACAGTGAGAGTTCTTCATAAATAGTCAGCAGTCGTGTATAAAAATTTATATAAACGTCACGATTATCCAATAAAAAACGACGTTATAACCGTGCAGTAATATAAACACATTATGTAATCGTGACGAATATCCATTGAAAAGCGACGTTACAAAAACGTGGGTTTCGGGAACGGTGTTCAAAATTTGTGAAAATTTGGTGGGAAATCATAATCAACAGTTTTCTTCATTTCCCTTATTCTTTTTTTGTTTTTTACTCTCAAAAAAGGAAAAGGGTTTTTCCCTTTGAGAAGGGAAACGTGTCAAAAAAACCCGGTTTTAAGCTTTTAGAAAGGGCCTAAAATTTTGTTTTTAAAAATCTTTTTGGGGGTAAAATTTGGGCAGAAATTGTCTAAAAATTGGTAATCTTTATTAAATTTGGAAGGGTTTTTTAAATTTAATGAAATAAAAAAATTAAGCTTAAATTTTAAAAAGTTTTAAATTTTTACAATAATATGTGCTGAATTTGTGAAATTTTGTATTTTACAAGATGGAACCATTTTTTGATAGGTAAAGGCTGCAAAATTGTCTGAATGGGTCAGCTCTAATGGACATTACGAGTGACCAAGAGTTTCCGGTTTGGGCATATTAGGTCTTGCCGCTTCAAGAGCCCAATAAAGTCCAATAAAAAATTCATATATAATGCATATTAAATCTTGTAAAACATCATCTTTTCAGTAATTGTTTTCATTTTAACATATCATTCCATATAATAAAATGTATGCGCTGTCAACACAAAAAATCCTTTGCGGGGATTAATTCAAATGTTTTAAACAACAGACCTTTTGAAGTATTTACAAGATGATATTTCCATAGAAACGAAAGTGTTATTTCGCGCATGCATGTTCCAAAGAATACATTTTATCAGTATTCAACAACTTCAGAAACAATTTGATGTAATCTTAATTATCAACCATTAGTTTAGAATAGTTCATTTTGATATAATAACCGATGCAATGGTGAATTTGAGTAATTAACTTGGTCATTACATTATTAACTCATTAATTCAGGGTCTTTTAAATCAAAAGTAGTACAGTATTAGTAAATAAATAAATGACGCAAAACTTACCTGTTAAAGTAAATCCAAAGGCATACGTATGTCCTAACATGACCCATGTCATGCTCAGAAACCGTATACCATTTACGCTTGTCAATGTTCCAGATGGTTGGTTCGTGCTAAAAATCTTCGGCCGCATTTTGAGTACACAGAGAATGATAATAGCAGGTTGCCCATTTTTCCTGTAAATAAAGCAATCAAGATAGGTTTTAATTAGTGAATATTTCCGAAAAAAAGGAGGTTGGGGAGTAGTAGGTAGCTCAACTTGAATATGCCTTCAAATTTGTTTTCTGAGCTACTATATCGGTACAATGCACAGGTTGCACTTGATCTTGTTTAGTCACTTTAGTTTCAAACGACTGAAAACGTGTTCCTGTTGTTATAAATTTGATATAGATTTAAATTTTTCTGGAATGGTCAGTTTAATTTTAAGATTAAAGTTTAGGTACGGTGTTGTTCGAACTCTTCCGAGACTTTGTCAGACCATAATGGTCTCCCGTCTTAATACGTACACCTTGTGAATAGGAACGTCAGGGGGAAAATTAAACCAAGGGGTTTTTTGAAATAAACAGAAAAAACAAAAAATTTTTCCCCTTTGTTGGAATTTTTTTTCCCATTTTAAAAGTCAATTTTGTTAAGATCTTTTTGAATGATTCATTAAATCTCCCCCTTTTTTTATTATTTTTTTCCAATTTTTAATTTTCTATTTTCCTTTTACTTTTTGCTCCCTTTTTTTTTTTAAAAGGCCTTTTTTATTCCGGGGTTTTTCAGTAACCGGGTTTTTCCCGGGTTAGGATAATTTGTTCAATTTTTTCTTTTGGAAAAAACCTTTTTTTGGTTCCCTTTGTTCCAGGTTTTTATTTTCCGGGTGTTTATTCGGGGGGCGTATTCTTTTTTGGACCCCTTTTGTTTCCAAACCCGTTTCATTTCTTGATGTTATTTAAAGGGGAAACCCTTTTTTTCCTCCCATTTTACAAAATAATTTTTTTCTTGGTTAGTAAAAAGATTAATTTTTTAATTTTTTTTAAAAAAGCTTTTAAAATATGGGGAACCCCTTAAAATATAAACCCTCGACCCTTTTAAGTTTTTCGCCCGCTGGGTAGTCTTTTGGCAAATTTAATATCTGTATTTTGAACAAATTTAGTATTGGGATAATTTTAGTGTAAAAATTAGCAATTTTTTTTATTATTTACGTGATCTTGGAAAAAACGTCATAAATTTTACGTCATATTTCTCAACGTTTATTTTAAAATCTAGACTTTAAAAACTTTTAGATAAACAAAAAACTAGAATAAAACAAAACGAACTTTTTTCCCATTTAAAAGGCAAATAATATATTTTAAAAAGTCCCTGCGGAAAAAAAACTATCTTGATAATCCCTTTTTTATTGGTTTTTGGTTTTTTTTGTCAAAACCGAAGTTCCCCCTAGTAAAGACACTCTGTCATTTTTCGTATATCTGAGAGTCATAAATGCAAATAAGTTAACTCAAATTTGATGCAGCCAAATGTGAACATATAAATTACAACTGCTTTGTTTAAACAATAAAGAGTAAACTGTTCAAAATGAATTAATGCAATAGATAAATGTTATACTATTAGTTTGTATTCTGACTCTCTGCTCGCCATATAATGATTAAGGAAGATGTCGTAGGCTGTTGCAAGAATGATAACTGCCGCAAACAGTGAACATATAACGCTGGAAAAAAAAAGAACATCACATTTATATGCGTTAATGCTTACCGTATATTTTACAAAATCTTCGAAAGGCAAAAAACACATTTTTATTACAATGACATGACTTTGCTTGTTGTGCATTTTTTAGTTAGTTTAATAATAGGTAAAATATTACTTTAAATATAAAACGACTAAGCAAAAATGGCGATTTTGTACACGTCTGACATGTTTTTGAAATCATTTATAATAAGCCATTGTTTTCGAATGGCAGTTGATGTACAAAGTTAATTAGTGGGAAATGGTTTTTTCCTTCGAAAAAGAATAAACATTTCGGCTAGCTTCAACATTTTTAAATTAATAAATAAAAATGTGAAAAAATCATAGTAAATGCTAGAAAGTGTCGTTATTTATTATTTATTCACAACAGTAGTTTTCAAAATACTTATATACTTATCATAGAAATTACGACAAGCAAATTTATACAAGGAAGAGTCGGCACAACGTCCAATAAGTCTGACGTCATTTATGCATTTCACTTAAATTGTTAACGGGGCTTTACATTTCATCATTTTTTTTCACACCAATATTTAAATAATATTAAGATTCACTTCTTTCATGACTGCTATAGCTTTTCCAGTATATTCCAGAGACTTTTCTTGACACATGACCTGTACACGTGACGTTGCATTCACATCTATCAAGCTCACCACTGAAAATCGATAAGAATAGGTAGTGTCAACAAAAATCTAAATTGCGATTAAAAAAAAAAGGTTAATCAAACTTTATGAATGAGTAAATCAAGATTTAATGGCATATGGTGTATTTTGGGATAATTGGCTTTAGGTCATATCGACGTTGTTATGGCATAAGAAACTGTCCGCAAAAGAAACCGTTTAAGTGATTCTTTATACAATATCTCAATCAATTCATGCCTTATACAAAATAATTTAACGTGCATACGTGTTTTTGCCAAAGCCGTTGCATCAGAAGAACTACACGTGTCCGGGAAACACATCCCAATGGCCAACGCTGCGGCCTGTCCAAATGCTCCCTGTGAAAAATAAGGCAATAAGTTGTCTGTATATGTAACTATTGTAAGATAAGGTCTGTGATTGAAGAAAATGTTAATACAATCTCACTTTAGTCTTATATTCCAACATAAAAAATATTATATAATCATTATAACTACTTCTACTACTACTGCTATTATTATTATTATTATTATTATTATTATTATTATTATTATTATAATTTGCGAGGAAGTTATCCAGCAAATTAATGAATATCGGTGTTTGGTTCTCAGATGCCCGATTGCCGGAAATAATATTGTGTTTGCGAAAATGCACCTTAAGTGTTCCTCTACCAGTAAAAATGGAAAGTCAGCGCATGACCCTAACAGTCTTTGTGTGACTTAAAATTAAAACAATTTACCTGATTTCCCAAAGGTATAGACGCCAAACAATATTTGCCGGTAAAAGGGTGACTTGGCCCCGTTTTATTTACAGGGTTCTGGTACTCGATTGCCTGCACGTCAATGCATTCACTCCATTCCCCGATCCAATGAATATGAAAGTCCATAATACCACTAGGGGGTTTCCCCATCGCATCAATCACTACAAACAGTAATATCGTCATTAAAACAGGCAAATATAAAGAAAACGATTTTTAACCGCTGTACATTCAATGCATTTTTTTAAATTCTTTTAAGATTTTTACTTTTCATAGTAGGAATTCATGTTTGTATTGTTCTAATGAAACCAGTCATACAATTAGTCCCAATCAAATCATAAGTTTCTGGTTTAACGGCGCACCAACACAACTTTGGCCATATGTCGCTAAAACAGGAGAGATGATTTTTGGTTAACTTCGGGTGATACAAACATCAGGGATCGAAATCGTTTCACCTTCTGCAGCTAAGGGATGCACAGACTTCAGTAATTAGAACCCATTTAGTCGCCTCTTACGATCACACGGGAAAACACGGTGGTTGCAATTCTGATGCATCAAAACTTAAACCCCTCAGCCACATTGTTGTAGGTAAAAAAAATAAAAGTGTACACAAATCCGTCGTAGTATAAACAATTTATAATTTCTATCATCATTGCAAGTTGCAATGCATGCCCAGCGTCGTGAACAATGAAATGTAGACTGTGAATGCGCGAGTTATTTTAGAATACCTATTTATCTATTCTAGGAATAAAATATTGGTGGTTTCGGGCTTAATATTTATAAATTTTGCTTGTGTAGTAAAACGACTGAAATGAAAAGCAACAATTATTGATACCCTTGATATTTTACATCAAATATGCTTATATGCTGTATTATCCGTGTTAAGGGAAACTAAATCAAACCAAAGTAAACTAGAGGATGCTTTTGTAAAAAAGCGCATGTCTCCCCCACTGCTGAGAATAACTGTGAATGGAAACAGGAATGGAAATGGAGATAAGATAATGTAAATACCCGGTAGTCACTTCAATGAAGGCTGTCTATGGATGGTTTCTATTGTTAAGGTTGTATGAGAAGATGCTCCTAAACTGTTTTTAACCAGGTATTCAATTTTGAAAATCCTGGTTATTCAATCAGCGTATGGCAGGCGGGCGTCAAACGAAATTGCACTTGATGGTCATATCATATATAGTTTCACAAATGAAATTAAATGAAATTGTGTCTGCTCCATAATTCTTCAAACCTTTAAAGGATTTTGATGATACTTGAAACAAACGTTCATATTGTCAGATTTTTTTACACTATTGAAAGACAACTCAAATTACAATGTATGTAAAATCATGATAACTGTAGTTTGTTGGGATGACTCCACTCGTTTTCACAATGAAGCCTCTCTGGTAGATACTTGAAACAAAAATTCACCACATCCAGAGAACGTGTAGAGTACATGTTTCGTATGGCTGGTTCCAAGGTCAAGGTCTACTTGACACTTGAATGTCATATCATATATAGTTTCACAAACGAAATTAAAGGAAATTGTGTCTGCTCCATAACTCTTCAACCCTTTGAAGGATTTTGATGATACTTGAAACAAACGTTCATATTGTCAGATTTTTTACACTATTGAAAGACAACTCAAATTTCAATGTATGTCAAATCATGATAACTGTAGTGTGTTGGGATGACTCCACTCGTTTTCACAATCAAGCCTCTCTGGTAGATATGGTCAATAAGTGTGTGTTGTGTGCTGTAGTAGCCTTGTTTATTATTTGTTTAAAGCGATGTCGTAACATAGTGTGGGTCAATGGATGTTCTAAATATTGAATGAGGTCAATGTTGAAGTCTCCTAGAACTATGCAGTTTTCTGTTGGTGAATTTTCCAAGACAAGGGTAAGCTTTTGAAGGAACAAGTTAATCGGCAATGACGGAGGTTTATATACAGAGTAGACAGACAGTTGTTTAGCTAAAAGTTTTACAGCAACACACTCGATTCCACATGCATCCGTGGGTATTCGTTCATAAGCAAAGTCTTGATGAATGAAGAGGGCTACACCACCTTTAACAGTTGACTGATTAGTGTCCAATGTATTCAGATGATTATTATTATAATGTCGACACTGTAATTCTACATTATAGGTCTGGAGGGGATTTCTGAATGTAGAATTCTGGTTCATCCAGGTTTCTTGCAGGGCAATGATATCCATATGTTGAAGGAACAGATTGGAGGTAAATTCTTGAAGATGTGGTAGTAAGCCTTCGCAGTTGTGACTTGCAATATACATATGGTTGGTATGATCAAAACCTTGATCTGGTTCAAGAGAATTCCATCCTGGTAATGTGTTAGCCTCTGGCATATGAGACAATTTGTTTTGTATTGATGGGTCACAATATATTGCGTCAAGGTTGAAGTGGTCCTCTAAAAGGTGCAGACCAGAAGAAGATGTGACACGACTGAGAGCTACATAAGACATTCCAGGTTGAAAAGCTCCTTCCAGAGAAACAACTGCTGTTGATGTTGTAGCACCTTGTATTTTATGGCAAGTAACAGCCCATGCAAGCATGAAAGGGTATTGATGCCTTGTTATCTGAAATGGTTTAGTTTGGATTGTTTCAGTTTGTGGTCGTATAACAGTTGATGAACTGTGCACATGTGATGGAGGTCTGAGACGACTTCGTGAGTTAAAGCCAACTCTTTCTTCTTGAAACAAAACACATATAGCTTCAGGCAGTCCTAAAGGTGATGTCCCTGTTATGATTTCTGTGACAGCGCCCATCACACCATTAGTTAGTCCATCAGCTACGTCAATATTCATGGTGAGCATGACTCGAGTGCCACAACATAGGGACAGATATGCTGGTAAATTTGCCCTGTTAGACTGTACAGGCTCATTTCGTCTGTATGTTCGTTGAGTTCTGTTGTCATGACAGATATCAGCTGCTTCCAGAGTGTACAATGTTTCTGTGCTTGCTTTTTTCTCAAGCATAAAGTCATTGTGCTCTTTCAGTTGTTTATGTTTTGGAGCAATGTGAAGTGCATCTACTGGATAAGCAGGACTAGTTTTGCTTATTTTACGCTGCTCAAGGAACTTCTTGTCAGCAGCTGTCAATGGTTCATTCTTTATTCGAACTCTCAATCTGTTGAGCAGGTCAATAAAATCCCTATCACCTTTCTGGCGCACAACTTCTGTCAATTCCCATATATGAAACATACTCCAAAGATCAGTGAGTGAAGAATTGCTGGAAAGCAGGGATTTCTTTGCGACAGGTGGAATTTGATAGAAATCTCCTACTGCCAAAATGGACACATTACCAAAGCAAGCAGTAGAGGAGAATGGCTGTTTTATTTGTTGCAGTCTACAGTGTATAAGTTCAAGCAGGTCAGATGGAACCATAGAGATCTCATCTATGATCAGAAGCTGGAGATCTTGTAGTTTGGATCTAAGTGTGTTAGCAGCATCCTCAGATAACACTTTCGACGAGGTCCTGTTTATAGAAAATGCCGAGTGAATTGTTTGGCCACGAATGTTGAAAGCAGCTGTGCCTGTATAGGACAGTAGCAAAACAACAGGCAAGTCAGGATTTCCACTTTGTCTAGTGAGGATTTTGTTTATTTCATGATAGATACATTTAATGGTAAATGATTTACCAGTACCTGCGCCGCCAGTTAGGAATATGTAAAAGGGTGCCACATTGTCAGTATTTCGTTTCAGATGAGCCCAGTGTTTGATGAAGTGGAAAATTTGAGCTTGCTGCTGGTTCATGTTTCTTAGTCTGTTCTTTTGCTCAAGGTGATCATTTGAAGAGATGACTTGGCTGGGAGTTGTGTAATGGGAAGAGGTGACAGGTTGCTGGTTAGGGGAAAAGTCTGGTATGTCTTCCGGTGGAATTTCTTCAGCTTGTTCTTTAAACAGCTGTAATGCAATACGAAGTTCTTCTTCATCTTCCTGTCTCATTGGCTCCTGGTTTGGAGCTACATCAGCCCAGGCATCCTCTCCATATCCGTGCTGTTGTAGATCTCTCCAAGCTTCATCTAGATCTGTAGTGAGCTTCTCAAATTGGGATATGGTAGGTAAAATGACAGCGGAGTGCTGATTAAACATGTGCTCAAAAGATTCTGCATCAGTCAGTTGTAGGTCCTTGCAACGATGAGGAAAGTACATTCTGATGAGGTTGTGATAATAATCTTCAGAGTTTTTTTCTTTGTTTACTCTCATGTACCTTACAACAGCTGGTTTGCTCCTTTTCATAATGGTTCCCAAGCCATTCAGAAGTGTGTAGTGTTTCATGTCTGTATTATCAATAGATTCTTCTTGTACATCATCAACATTAATGGGGCGTCTACTGGTAATAGTGTAGTCTCGGGCAAATACTGCTAAGGACATCTGTTCAAACTCATCAGTGGTTGGTCTTGCAAGATACCGATCTAGAAGACTAGTCATCCAGACATCAGTATCGTCATCGTTCTTTAGGACATGGAGAGGTTTAGTAATCTTAGCGGAACGTCTATCAGCGGGCCAAAGACAACTTTGGGGAAAGACGCTTCGGCAACCAGTGACCTGTACACATTATGAAAAAAATTTCGTAATTAAAAAAACTTTTCCCAACTCCTAAGTTGCTGCAAGTTCCAAATGTCCTTTTTTCTGTTTTTCTGGGGCTTTTCTTAAAAAAATACCAAAGTTCCCCTTTTCTGCTTTCTAATTAACTAATTTAAATTAATGATACAACGTAGGCTCTAGGAAGGCGATGTTTTTGTTCCATTCCGGGCTCTTAAAAGGGGGTTTGTATGGATTGACCAGCTTCTTTTCATCTTTTTTATAGATGCAGTTTTTTTTTTGCTAAGCACAATGGCTGCTTCATTGAGCTTGGGTTATATTAAAGAGACTAAAAAGATTTTCGCCTCGGTCATCACTACTTCTTCTTCCTTTTCCTGGCATGTTTTTATGGCATCGGAGACAGCAGACAACAGGTCAACAGCAGCTTTTTTATATTCTGCTTGCGAAACATTTTCTGGTGGCTCTTTAGGGGTAGCAATAAAAGTATGTAAACATATTGGACGCGGAAAGCCAAACCTACAGTCTCTGTTTCCCTTTTTGCATGTCCTTGAATGACCTTTGGAATGCATTTGGACATTTTTGACAATGTCATACAATTCGGGATTGACGTGTTCGTCTGGAAGGCTACAAGTAATGTACTTGTCAATGTATTTAACGAAATCCTCATTGCTGTCAGCATCTGCATTGAAAGCTGGTGCATCAGAACACCAAAACAGACAATGAACGTGGGGCCAGCCACGACTCTGGAACTCTGTTCGGTAAAAGAAGTCTTCAACCTGTCCAATTGGATGTGCAGAAGATAGTATAAGGTCTGTTATAAAAGTGAGCACCCGATGTTGGAACATGCGACAGGCAGTTACAGGATTAGAGTTTATTATCTGTGTGTAGGAAGACCAATCCAAATCTGTAGGTACAGATTTTCCAAGCTGTGTGCAAATGGCTGTGACTATCTCAGGCCAGCGTCTATCAGCTGCAGAGAAGCTACAGAACCATGTGGGAATTCCTAATTGTTTGACCATAGCGAACATGTCTTTCAAAGTTTTTTCCCAGTATGGCGGTGAGCCTCGAGCTGTTGAAAGGAAATGGTAGCCCTTATCTGAAGACAGGATTTGTTGCCGTCTGTGAGGATTTTTGAGTTCTGTTGCTGTAATATGATCCTGATCAAACACTCCACTGGAACCTTTACGCATAGCTATTGACACAGAACTGTTAATTGTATTCAGTTCTGATATGTACTGGCTGTAAAAAATATACTGAGGATCACTTGCAAATCGTAAATCAGCACTAAACAACTGCCTGTTAAAGTATCTATTCAGTCCAAGCTTAACATTTCTCTTTTGGCTGAATGTGTTCTTGCCTGTGGGAAATAAGTAAGGAAATGCCCGAGATTCCATGTCAAACACAGTTCCTGGCCTAGAACCCTGGCCCGGGGCAATACAAAAAACAGAGTCTGGAAGATCTTGGGTGCCAGCAACTTGTGTCAAGTCTTCTGGTTGGAGACAGGAGACCATAGGAGCAGATGTCTCATGCAGGTCTTGATCAGTGTCATCAACATCTGAAATATAGAGTGCGGTATAAGTACATGTACTACAAGAAACTTTGCAAGAAAGAGCGCATAAAGCCCCAGCTACTAACTATATGGCATGGATGTGTACAGAGTGTTTAAAGACAACATAAGACTTTTATGGAGAAAGTTTGATAAAGGATTTTTAGTTTAGATATATCTAATTGTCAGAATACGTGAACAATAATTTCAATAACATTTTATACAAAAAATTACAAATGTATATTAGAAGAAAATTACTGGAATTTTAAGAATTTTATAGTGTGCTTATACAGGTTAAACTGGAACAGGGAGTGATATTACAAGCTATTATATGGCAACTTTTCTAAATGTAATGCAGTGGGGGTCATATTTCTTTCTAGAACTGAGAATTGGAGTTTGAAGATTGGATGATAAGATTATTGAATAGGGATACCTTCACTTGTGCTGGCCAGGTCAGGATGATCAGTGGAAATAGAAGACACAACATCACTTGTGCTGGCTTGGTCCGGTTGATCAGTGGAAATAGCAGACACTCCATCACTTGTGCTGGCCAGGTCAGGATGATCAGTGACAGGACAATGTTGATGAATATTAGGTACAGCCGGAACTACACATGGTTCACGAAAAGCTGAAAAGTAGAATGAGTATGGGAGAATTAAGTTACTGAAGGCTGAATCAATTGTCTTAGCAGTTCCTTAAAGTAAGATAAATAGTATAATAAGTATTTTATTATTTTATTGTGTGGTTGGGCTTATGCTTACACCAACACGTTTTTGGATCATACATCGTATATATTCCAGCTGTCGTGGTAGAGAAAGACTCATGGTGCTCCTTCAGACATATTTCATCACGAATTGGTATCTGGGAAGAACCACCAACCTTCCGTAAGTTAGCTGAATAGCTTCCTAACATAATGGCTTCTACAAGTATTATTTTTCTAAATTAAGTGTACAATAAATTCAGAGGGTAATCTGTTTTTCAACTCATTGAGATTGACTGAGTGAGCAAAAAAGGTTTCTGTTTAGAATTGTACTACATGTACTAGTATGTGTTTGAGAGGAAACAACTATTGTGAAGACAGAGATTATCTGTAATTAAAATTTACTTACAATATTCAGATTTATCTAATATGTTCGTAGGCTGCTCATTAACTGAAAGATTTTCAACAACTGGAAGGGTGTCATCAGATGCAAATATCTGTTCAGTTGTGGAAGTGACATTGTCCAAATTGATATCAATTGCTGAAATGAAGACCAGAAACATATGAAACAAACCAGCAAAAAAAACCCTAAATATAGCCGTTATTATCAAATATTAATTATGACAATTATTGTCTACATATCAAAAAGGTAAAAGTGTTTACATTTTGAAGTTTTGACTAATAAGGCAATTACATACATGAGGCAGAAATACAAGTCTACTGAAGATGGCATTGTTCACTTTTCTCAGTGAAGCGTAGTAAGATAAAAAGTAGATTTGCAAAGGGGACATGATTATAAAATAGTGTTTCTTTTATTATCTGTTCTTTGGAAAAATTTCACTTATGCTAACGAATAAGCATAAGATGTTTTAAAGCCATACTTTTGACCGTGTTAATGTTAACGATCATAAACATAAATCTAATTAATATGGTTAAGTCAATGGGTTAAGCAAAAAAGGTCAAGGAATAATTAAGCAAAGTTCACTTTATGACCCAGCAGAAAATAAGTACCTGTGAAATGTGGACTTTTCCTCTTGAGAAACAACAACGCTTCATGGATCTTTTGAAGAGTAACTTGTTGGAAAAGGTGATGACCCCTGTACTGTAACTTGCGTTTCAGCTTCACAGCGATGATTGTTTCACTGTTAAATGATCGAGGCAGTGTTTCAACAGTTGTAGAAATGTTAGCCGGTACACAAACCACAGGTCCATGTATTCCTTTCTGACTACCTTTAGGAAGTGACACTATTTTCATAAACGGAATGACTGGTGACACTAAATGTTTTTCTAGATTATTCAATGTTTTTAAGCAGTCCGGCTGTTCATCAAAGTTTAAATGATTGAGAGAAGCTTGACTTGGGATTTTTTTCTTCAAGAGATGTTGGTTACATGTAAAACAAATCCATTTTGGACACAGCTTGCAATCGTCATCACATGTTGTCTCAGGTTTATGCATATTGTTCACTATAATACATCGTAGAATAAGTTCTTTATCTGGGAATTTAAGTAAATTACAATGTTTTACTTGTTTGCGGAAAAGGAGACGATAGCAGACACAACAGGTAAAAACTGGCATCTCTGAACATTTGCTTTTGAACTGCAGGATAGCTTGGTCAGCTGATGTCACTGTTCTTTTTTTCTGTTTGGACGCACTATCTATTACGTTCAGTTGCAGCCGTTTAACAGGATCTGCCCTAGATTTCCGTTTTGATTCACTATCTATTACGTTCAGTTGCAGCCGTTTAACAGGATCTGCCCTAGATTTCCGTTTTGATTCACTATCTATTACGTTCAGTTGCAGCCGTTTAACAGGATCTGCCCTAGATTTCCGTTTCAATGAACTATTGGTTAAGTTTATTTGCAACCGTTTAACAGGATCTGCCCTAGATTTCCGTTTTGATTTACTATCTATTGAGTTCAGTTTCTGATGTTTAACAGGATCTGCCCTAGATTTCTGTTTCGAATCACTATCTAGTAAGTTCAGTTTCTGACGTTTAACAGGATCTGCCCTAGATTTCCGTTTCGAATCACTATCTATTACGTTCAGTTTCTGACGTTTAACAGGATCTGCCCTAGATTTCCGTTTCAATGCACTATTGGTTGAGTTCATTTGCAACCTTTTAACAGGATCTGCCCTAGATTTCCGTTTCGATTCACTATCTAGTAAGTTCAGTTTCTGACGTTTAACAGCATCTGCCCTAGATTTCCGATTCACTATCTATTGAGATGAGTCTCTGACGTTTCACAGGATCTGCTCTACACTTTTGTTTCGATTTTCTATATATTAGTTTTTGCTTGTCATATGTATCATTATCAGTTCTAGATATTTGAGATACGTTATTACTAATGTTTGAAAGTTTAACAGCATCTCTATTTTGCTGATCATCCAAGTATGTTTCAATCCAATCAAAGGAATTTGCAGGGTGTTTTGCAGGAAACCCAAAAATTTTTTGAGAAAATCGAAAAAAAAGTTGTTTTAAATCTGTCTGGGCCATTTTTTAAATCATTAAAAGAAAATTCCTTGGGGCGTTTCCTAAAAAATGTTAAACAAAAGGGTATTCCATTAACCACAGAGTGGTTATACCTTTTGGGGGTTTCACTTGCATATATAACGTGGCTTACAATTTCCTCTGTGAATATATATTTCAGTTGATCTATCACTTCTTGAAGATGTGTATCTGATCGCAAAGAGTCAAAAACAAAGAGTTCTTTAGTACTTGTTTTGTAATATGAGCAAACCCAGTGTCTTGTCAATGGATGTATATTTATGATGTCTTTATCAAGATGTGGTTGTGGCAAAACAATAGCTCCAGTGCCTGCAAGATGTAATTCGGCTGGTGTATACTGACCCACAGAACAGTTTGTATCACTGGTTGCATGCATCTGCATGAGGATTAATGAAGCAGAGACAATATCATCCGGAATTTCAGTACTGGAGTCACCAATCAAGTTTGTCAATGCTTCTGGACTGAACAGAACTGGGGCAAATCTCTGAAATATTAACACACATGTTACTTAACTGAAAACAGGATATGCTAGTATGACAATAAAGGGATTGAGCATATTAAAGTCGATAAAGTGACACTTTCTTTGATAAAACCCGCCCAAAGTATTCTATTTTTCCGTTTTATAAATTTCATACAGACGATATTTCAGCTACGTTACCTAAAGAACGGTATTTCATTGAAAAATATATGCCAACTTTAAACAAATATTGATGACATTATAAAGCAAATATCATGACGTAATATTGACGTTGCGTACACATATGTACACAGAATTGCGATGTTGCTTAGTTACTTCACATATTTTGACACCATATTGTTATTATATTATTTGCCCTGATAATAAAGAAACCGGTCGCCAAAATGATCTCTTGATGTTAATTTTTCCTTTTAATATATATATGTATGTATATTTCTATCATTTAATGTTAATGGAGTATCACCTGTACTTCAACAACTGCAGAGAAGTCAGTGCTCTCAGATGACAGTTGTGATGTGCTGGGCTCTGGAGATACAGGTAGTTTGCTGTTGCATGTTGTGGTAATACCAGTCTCTTGTAGAGTAACACTCTGGTGTGGGTATTGTACCTGTAAATGCAAACAAAAAACTAATAGTGAAGATACACATTACAACATATTACAAGGGGGTAACTAGTTAACCGTCGGTGATGGTACATTTATATAAGTAATAAATAAAATTGCTTATTCATATAATTAATCTAAAAATTGCTTTTACAAACAAAATTTGCCAAAAAAAACAATAAGCCGACAATAGCAGTGAGATGGATGACATAAAATTTACCTTTTTACGTTTCCTCAACTTGTCTGCAGCCTGCTGTTGTTTAATAGATTTTTTCTTCGTTTTTGGCATTTTTACAGCTCATCTACTGCCTGCATATAAATGTTATTTAATCAATGTACATATGCCACAGAGTCAAATAGAATTTATGGTAAGGCTAAGTATAAATGCAGAATAGTTCTTACAATACTATCAGAAACTAGCTGCAAAATGTGTTTAAGACTTTGATGATGATTCTGTTAACAATATGTGAATAAAAATGGCAATAAGTTTTAATGTTTTGTTGTGGAGAGCACATAAGATAATATTAAAATTACATTAAGAAAAAGTTGTTTATTTTATATCAAAAATGCAGTCAAAGTCTTGTAGAAAACTCGCCTTATATGTGCTTAAGCTCTCCCTTTGTTCTTCTTATGTGTGGCTATATATTTAAATATATCTTCTTGTAACAACCTAAAATGTATTTATTTCCAATATAAATATATACAAATAAATGGGCTTTAATATAATAATAATAATAATAATAATAATAATAATAATAATAATAATAATAATGATAATAATAAATTATTATTATAATTATTAATAATAATCATGGGTATAACTAACATGTACATGTACTTGCATTATTGACTAAGTAAGGAGAAATGATTTTCATTGTGCCTAAATTTGACCCACCATTTCGAAATCATGTAGGTTGAATTTAAAGCTCTGAGTCAGTGTTTAATCTTGTATATCACATGGTAGTATTAGAAGTATCTGATAACACTTTTTATAAATATAAAACCAATGTCACTGAGAGTACATTATTGTAGTTGCTGAGACATTTAAATCTTGGGAGAAATTTTATGTTGTCGTTATAAAACAGTTTTCATTTTATTTCGGTTAAAATTTAGGCAAACATTTTTCACCATGTTTGCGATAAGGATTGCTTTCTTACTGTATTTAATTGTGCATTTAAGTACGTGCCTTAAGAGAACAGACGAAACTGTTGATTATTTCAAATTGATTCAGCACGCGCAAAGAACTAGTGAGGCGTCGAGGAAATATTCTCTCGAGGAGAACGAGCTTCCAATTGAACATTTACAAGTGACGAACAGTTACGAAAAAGTGTTAGCACGTGCGGAAGAGATTCAGGTGTCCGGGTTTGAAGACGTAGGCCCTTATGATGTTAGCAGTGTATGTTTAAACCATACAAAATTATTAATTGATGCATTGATACGACGAGAGACTTGGGCATGGAGAAGTAAGTATTTTATGGCTGCTTTAATATATTTTTCTTTGCATTTTTAAAAATAATATAAAAAAGAAATAGAAAAGAAACGGTCGCTAGTTTACTGTGTCAATATCTCTATTTACATTTACACTCATTTGGATTGCTGTATTACTAAAAATGAAAGATCTAGTTCTTCAACTCTACAAATTTGAATAATCAGTAGGGTTTTGCGTGATTGAGAACGATCAGTATAAAAGTCGGTTGTAAATCGAAGTTCGAATTATCAGGAGTGAATTGCTGAGTGTAACAAAAAATAACACAATAAATCTGTGGTACACTCGCTGACCTATCTTCGTATGGGTTTTGAATTACATAGAAAATCACGATTTAAACCCTGTTTAAAGTTAACCGACTAAAAAAATGGTTGAAAAAGGATCAATGATTTATGTTTTACATATTTGCTCAGCATACTTCAGATATATATCTAACATTATTTATATATAGCAACGCCATGAACGATATCAAAGTAAACATTACAAAGTAAACATTAGAGTTGAAAATGTAGTGACACTGTTTATCACTGAAAGGGGAGGTAATGTTCACAGGAGAAGCGTTATTTTCAGTTTATTTTAATAATTTTGTCTCCCTTTTAGGCACTTTGTCTACCATAAACGAGCCCCGTGGATAACAACAGACATTCTAAAGTACTTTTTGTGTAATTTAAAGTCAATAATTTATGTGATTAATTATGTCTCCCCCACCTCGGGGGGAGACATATTGTTTTTCCGGATGATAACTAGAGTTCCTTTAGACCTACAGACCTCAAACTTCATAGGATGATTGGTCTTATTGAGCTGATGATCCCTATTGTTTTTGGGGTCAGTAGTTCAAAGGTCAAGGTCACACTGACCGTTGGTCAATTTCTCGTTTCCGGATGATAACTAGAGTTCCTTTTGACCTACAGCCCTCAAACTTCATAGGATGATTGGTCTTATAGAGCAGATGATCCCTATTGTTTTTGGGGTCAGTAGGTCAAAGGTCAAGGTCACAGTGACCGTTGGTCAATTTCTCATTTCCGGATGATAACTAGAGTTCCTTTTGACCTACAACCCTCAAACTTCATAGGATGATTGGTCTTATTAATCAAATGATCCCTATTGTTTTAATGGTCAGTAGGTCAAAGGTCAAGGTCACAGCGACCGTTGGTTAATTTTCTCCTTTCCGGATGATAACTAGAGTTCCTTTAGACCTACAACCCTCAAACTTCATAGGATGATTGGTCTTATTGAGCAGATGATCCCTCTTGTTTATGGGGTCAGTAGGTCAAAGGTTAAGGTCACAGTGACCATTGGTCATTTTCTCATTTCCGGATGATAACTAGAGTTCTTATCAGTGAGGACATTTAACTATTATTGATATATCAGTGATATATCAGTTGTCTGGTTTTATATACTCTGTTCTTTTTTGATCTTTCCACCCTTATGCGGTCATTTCTTCCCCGCTGCGCGTTCAATGCTACATGGTCACAGCAAGGTGTATTACACGCATTGTTTTGTTTGCTGATGATAACTACAAATTCCTACTAGCGAGTGAGTTTTCATGCAATATGTAAGTATATAGTATATCACTTTCTATTCTTGTTAACTATTACTAATAGTATACATACATGCATGGCACCATTCAGACTATGTACATATTTATTGGTATTGCGTTACAACTTAAAAACTGTCAGTATTGGACTATTAGTTATTGTGGTTTAAATAATCAACATCAAATCTATTACTTTATGTACTGCTTTCACTTATAAGTTATGTGATTTACATGTACATGGTTTGAAAAAGGGAAGGAATAAAAAGTTACAGTTCTATTCCCATTATTCCTTCTTAGGTTCGCCTCCTAGTGGTGGTGCCGGGCGTCACTACATCTGCATGTTCACTCTCATATAGTGTAGAATTGTGTGTTTTAACAGTACCTTATGCGCATTATTGTATAAATGTACTTTTTCCTTCAAATAAAGTTACTTGATATTTTTCCTTTCCCTCAGAAAGGGCCATTTCATTTTGCAGCGCTACATGCTGCTATTACCACATTTTATAGCAGATATAGTGATGGCAAAAGAACCTGTTTGTTCAACTCATTGCATGAAACCTTGTTATCAAATAATCCAGTTTACCCAGGCCTTCAAGGCTGGTGTTTGGCCTTTGTGGCTGTCTTTAATATTTGTGTTGTTTATCCAAGGCCTTCAAGGCTGGTGTTTGGCCTTTATGGCTGGCTTTAATATTTGTGTTGTTTATCCAAGGCCTTCAAGGCTGGTGTTGGGCTTTTGTGGCTGGCTTTTGTATTTGTGTTGTTTACCCAAGGCCTTTAAGGCTGGTGTTGGGCCATTGTGGCTGGCTTTATTATTGTAGCCTTGTCATGAGAAAACTGATAATGTGGTCTTAGGCATTGATATATATATATATATGCGTCTATATTGTCTTATATCACTCTGTACTGTTACTAGATCGCTGGCAACATCATGTTATATATTAGTCAACAGTGTTACCCTGATCAGTATTCACATGACAAGGCTCTTCATAGTGCATACAATTTATTTTTCCATTACAAACACTTGTTCATTCTAGAACTTGCATTGAACTCAAGTTGAAACTGTTGTGTCATATTTATAATTCAGCAGTTTCCACTTGACTTCTTTGATGGTTTTGCAGTATTACAAATCTTTCTTTTTATAGCACCAACATGCAATCAGCTGTATCTGAAATGAAGAGAAATTCCTTGCAATTAACTGGCCTTTTTGCAAGACTTGTACAAAAAAAAATCACCATTGAAGAAGCTAACATTGAAATAATGGCAATAACAGATGCCTTAGATCGTAATGCAATGTGTTATGACAAGAACAGGGTTAGGTTAGAGCAAGAAAATAGAGATCTGCGAGTCAAAAACAAGGACCTGCACAAGGAGATCTACAGGAACAACGAGCAAGTGAAGCGCCTGGAAACCCAAATAGAGAAACTGGACACAGAAAAGACAGACCTTGAAAGTAAATTAGGTGCATTTGCTGAGTGGCAACAAGGGGAAGACTCATTTCTCCTAGATGCCAGTGTGGCGTCAGAACAACAAGAACACCAAGAAGAAACAGAAAAGGATGAGCTACATTAAAATCTAAAACTAAAGATTAACTTACTTTACTTGTGCTTCTTGTGTAAAAGCTTGCACACAGCTTTTTATTCCTTTATGTTAAATATTTAATTAGCTTTTTGTTCCTTTATGTTAGGATGACGAACCAAATAGTTTGGATTTTGTACATTGTATCTTCAAGGACAGTTAGTCAGATCACCAAATGTATTGACATTCTTTGGAATGAAACCTCTGTTTTAATGTATGTTTGTTCAACATTTTTGTAATGTAATATTACAAATTCATTGTTTACCAACTGAGCCCTGCTGTAAGAAAATCATCATTTGGCATATGGTAGTATATTTCATGAATAGTTGCAGTGCCAAATGTTGATTTTCTTCAGCGGGGCTCATCATGCTATATATACATGACTTAGTCTTTAAAAATGCTTTTTTATTTTCCAAAAATGTTTATTTTTTATGTATTCTAGCAGTTTCCATTATGATACTAATTGCTTAAATATTACCTGAGCCATCTTTTTCATCTGTTTTTTTTTTATTTTGTTTGTTTTTGTTTTTTTTATTTTTTTTTTTTGGGGGGGGGGGGGATTAGTAACAGTATTTTGTATGAGGTCAAAATATTATTTTGTTTAAATGCTAATGATTTCAAATTTACCTTCATAATATGGTTACATATTCTTTAACCATTATTTTATTTTAAATACACGCTTGTCCTTTCTTTTCCAAAAAGGAAATAACTATTCTTTTTTAGGGATAATTTAGGGATAATGGACCTTTAATATCGATCAGTGTTAAACCAAATATGTCATGAATAACGTTCCTTAAAACACATTTCAAAAGTCGAGATTATAAAACAGATACAAGAACAATAATCGTTTAAAATTAGAAGAAAAACATCTTTTCATATTGTTTCATTGAGTAGGTTTCTACGTCCGTGCTTTCAAAATCTCTTAGACTGGTGTAGTTCTTAGTAGACCTAATGCTTATGAAGTTCGGTTTATTTTGTGTTACGAGTCAACTTTACCGGCGGGCTGTGAATGGATCGAATAACATAAACCTCTGTACATATTTGACATATGCTTCCATAAGATAAGATGAAGAGACAGACTTGACAAAACATTTGACTTGAACAGTGC